CCTTGAATGAACCACCGTCAAATGCTGTTGCCGCCATATCCGCGTTCTTGGCAGCGGTGTGACGCCGTTGTTGGCTGACCAAGTCCGGAGGGTCACTAGTCTCGACCGAGGTTTTTGTAGGTGATCCATTTCCTTCAGACATTCTCACTTCGCGCCTTGGAGTAGCCTGACTGATTTCAGAGACGGGGCTGCGGAAGACGGAGGCAGCTTGGTGACCTTGGAGTGACCGATTCCACCAACCCTTTGAAAAGGGACTTTGACACAACGATTTGAGTTCCCTCTTCGCCGATAGCTGCTCCCAACGGTAATCTTTGGTCAGTCTCGGAGCGCTAGGGAGTCCCTTGATGAATGCATTCTGTAGGACGACACTAGACACCATAGGGGGGATATAATTCTCGATGATCGCCACAGCGTCCTGGTCGAGGAGCCTTTTTCCGTGACCAGCACCCAGACTGTGAATCCATTGAGCAACATATGTTCTGAGACCCTCACCATCGATATCTTCGACGTGATCGCGTAGCTCGGCGAGACCGTCAATCCCTTCCAAAGGATGAGTGAATAAGGCGTCGGCCAACTCTCGGACAAAGCGTTCAGGATCAGGGTCTTGGCCTTCCCGGGATGCCTGCTCCAAGAGCGTGAACAATGCCTCGTCCAGGCTGTCTGGTAGCGGCCTGATAGTGAGAGCCGCTACCACCTCCTCGCTCGTGCAGATAAAGGCAGTCCGCAATGACGGCAGGGTCCCGGTATCGGAGCCAGATGTTGAGGTTATGCCGCCACGGACTGAACTCATTGCCATTAAAGTCTCAAGGAAAGACTAACTTGAATAGCTTAGTAATCGAATCTATCTATCTAATAATAGGGATGGCCATAGCTCGGCCCGAGCAAAAGCACGCGTGCCCATCAGGGTCGCACGCAAGTACAATCAGGATCAGGGTCTTGGCCTTCCCGGGATGCCTGCTCCAAGAGCGTGAACAATGCCTCGTCCAGGCTGTCTGGTAGCGGCCTGATAGTGAGAGCCGCTACCACCTCCTCGGTGCAACCACCCACTTCGGGAGACAAGAGTCTTCCGCGAGCCGAGAGTGTGGGGAGGGTACCACTTTTGGGCGAGCGCTAAAACCAACTTCCGGGCATCCCTGGCCGGAACCTATCGTGCTTCGGTTTGCCCATTCCTTACGCGATTTTCGCTCTCCACCGACAGATTTCGTTCAGACTTTCCAAATACTCTCCAACACTCACAGAAAGAGGAAATCTACTCAAAACACCCTTCTGTACGCATTGAGGTTTCTGAAATAACTTAAAAACATCGTTTTTTAGCCGTCTCTCGCCTTGCTCTCTTACCTCCTTCCTGTCTCGTTTTCAGCAACTCACGTCTCCTGTGGAAATCCGGATCGCCCGAGCCGAGTGGAAATTGCTCGCTTAGTCATCGAAGAGCGCGCGCCCACTCACAACAGACAGTGTCACAAGAGACGGTCTACCGCCAATGCAGTCTCCTCGTGTAGGATATTACGATTGGCCATCTTGTCATTCTTCTCTTTATACCTTCCACAGTGCCTCTTGCGGCAAGAGTCTTGCCCGATAAGCGCGCTGTACTTGGCAGTCTACAAACCCTAAGTAGCTCTTGTAATAGGTGTGCTTTCAGAATACGACGTGTTTATTCACAAATAATGCCTCAAAGCCTTTTCGAAGGAGACATGCGTTATATCTGACATATGATTTCTCAGATTGATCTCGTGGGAGTGTCTGGCGAAGTATCCTCACCATAACATTGTGCGGTTCAAGAGGGTCCGCGAGGAGACTAGATGAACCGCTTCTCCGAAAACCTATTGCCTTATCCACTCTTTTCAGTGGCGTTAGCGGGTGTACCGCATCTACGATGCGTCAACGTCTTGAACTGACGCAGTTAATGCTTCTGCTTCATGGGACTGGAGAGATGCTTGGCTTTAGCATTTC